CGTGTGTGCGAGTGTGTGTGTGTGTGTGGTGTGTGTGTGCGCGTGTGCGTGCGTACGTGCGTGCGTGCGTGCGTGCGTGCGTGTCTGTGTGCGCGTGCGCGTGCGTGTGCGTGTGCGTGTGCGTGTGCGTGTTCGTGCGTGTGCGTTTGCGTTTGCCTGTGCGTGTGAGTGTGCGTTTGCGTTTGCGTGTGCGCGTGCGCGTGCGCGTGCGTGTGCGTGTGCGTGCGTGTGCGTGTGCGTGTGCGTGTGCGTGCGCGTGCGCGTGCGTTTGCGTGTGCGTATGCGTGTGCGTGTGCGTGTGCGTGTGCGTGTACGTGTACGTGTGCGTGTGTGTGTGTGAATGCGTGTGTGTGTGTATGTGTGTGTGTGTGCGCGTCTGTGTGTGTGTTCGTGTGTGTGTGTGTTCGTGTGTGTGTGTGCGTGTGTGCATGTGTGCGTATGTCTGTTTGGGTGTGTGGGCGTATGTGTGAATGCGCGTGTGTGTGCGCGCGTGTGTTCGCGCGTGTGGGCGTGTGTGTGTGTGAATGGCGGCTGGGTGGGTATGTGTGTTGCGTGTATGTGCGGTGGAGTGTTCGTTGTGTGTGTGGGTTCGTGGGTGTGTGGTAGTGCGAGCGTGCAGTGTGCGTGTGTGTGTTTGGGTGTAGGGGCGTGTGTGCTGTGTGTGTGTGCGCGTGTGTGTGCGTCCGACCCCCCATGTGGGTAAGGGCGTGTGTGTGTGCGTGTGTGTGTGTTGTGTGGTGGTGTGTGCGTGTGCGTGGCGTGGGTCTTAGTGTGTGCGTGGTGAGTTTTCGGTGCGTGTGCAGCAATGTGCGCGTGCGCGTGCGCTGTGCGTGTGGTGTGCGTCGTGCGTGTGTGCGTGCGCGTGCGCGTGCGCGCTGCGCGTGCGCGTGCGCGTGCGCGTGCGCGTGTGTGTGTGTGTGTGTGTGTGTGTGTGTGTGTGTGTGTGTGCGTGCGTGCGCGTGCGTGCGCGTGTGTGCGCGTATGCGCGTGTGCGCGTGTGTGCGCGTGTGCGCGTGTGCGCGTGTGCGCGCGTGCGCCTGTGCGCCCGTGCGCCCGTGCGCCCGTGCGCCCGTGCGCCCGTGCGCCCGTGCGTAATTTATGAGGGGTCGTGACAGTTGGAGCGGGGGCGCAGCGTGATTTTGGACCTCGTCTCGGTTGGTATTGCTTTGGTTCGTACTGTCTCGGTTCGTCGTGTCTCGGTGTGCAGCGTTTTGGTCAGTCTTTGTTCGGTGCGTTCCGTCTTTCTTTGGATTCGCCCCCTCTCGGTTCGTTCCGTTTCATAATTGAGTCGGAGTTTGAGCTCGGCAGCACGGCACAACGCGGCGCAGGACAGCGCGCATTGTTGGCACGTCTATCTCGTGGGGTGGTTCGTGGGATGTTACGTGGGGTGTTTCGTGGGGTATTTCGTGGAGTGTTTCGTTTGGTGATTCGTGGGGTGTTTCGTGGCTGTTCGTTGGGTGTTTCGTCAAGTGTTTCTTAGCGTGCTTCGTTGAGTGTGTCTTGGGGTGTGTCGCGGGGTGCTTCGTAGGGCGTTTCGTGGGTTGTTTCGCGTTTCGGTTCGTTCAGCATTTCGCAGCACAGCACGGCGCAGCGCAGCTTCTGGCACGGTGCCATCACCATCGATAGATTCATCATTGCTACTGCCCATCGCCCAATCCAGGTGTCTCGAAACGTTTCCATGCTTCACATGTGTATGTATATATATATATATATATATATATATATGTGAGGGGAGGATTGTGGTATAATGTGCGTTCCCTTTTTTTCTGTGGTTCCACTCCATCACTACCCTTATCATGTATTTTCGGATTTGCTTCATCCTCTTTTTAGAATGATTCAGTTTCGTTCTTCTTTTCCTCACCCTCTCCCTCCATCGTTTCTCGTGCCCTCTTCCTCAGCAGAACTCTCGCCGACTTTCCGATTTTCTCTTCCCATTCCCTCATCATCCTGTTCGCCCTCCTGCTCTCCCTCCTCCTCCTCCTCCTCCTGTTCCTGCTCCTCCTACGCATCTTCATCGCCATCATCATCAGCATCGTAATCATCGAAACCAGCGTGATCATCATCATCACCATCCTCATCATCACTTACGCCGTCGTCGTGGCAAGCGTCGTTGTGGTCTTCTCGCTCCCCCCTACTACGACGACACAGGCGTTGAGACAATAGAACTCGCGCAATGCATTTTTCCCCCAGAATGGCGGGGGCGCACATCGGGGAAAAAACCAACATACTATGAAGCCACTGTCGTGACGACGTCTATGATCACGCGCCCATGGATATAAGCATTTGAGGCTCTACAGAAGACGCGGCACCGAGACTGAATCAGAGAAAAAGAGCCTCGGGAGAGGAAGGGTGCGGACTGTAACCATTTAATGCAGACGAAGAGAAGGAAAATCGGCACCAGTCACCGCTGGCGAGCGCGCGCGGTGGGAGCCTGGCCAGAAGCGCCGCGCGACGCGGGTTTGCGCTTCAAAGTGAAAGCTGTTCTCTTGATCCTGGGCTCTTTGCGATCGCGCAGACTGTCCAAGAGCGCCTTAGCAGCGGGCTTCTTCTGAGCGCCGCGCCGCCCGGCAGGCGCGGCGTCGCGAGCCGCTGGCTTCCCCCGAACGCGCGCAGCGTGTTCGGCAATTTTGCGCGCGACTTTCTGCCGGGCTTCGTGCAGCGGAAGCCGCGCTGGCGCCAGGACGTCGGTACCGCCCTGCGCCTGAAGCGCGCAGTAACTCTTCCAGTCATCCCGGGGAAAAGCCCATGCCATAATGCTTCGCGATAGCACGTTGGCCTGTCGCAGCTGCCGCAGCGTCGGCGAATACAGCGCGCAATTGTGGGCTTGCAGCTTGCCCAAGAAGCCAATCCTAAGTTGCAGCTCCGCCGTCGAAGCGTAGAAGTCTCCCTGGTTGCGAAACCACGCGTTGATTTCGTGGTCGAAGGGTTTGTTGACGGACGTGCCAGACCCCAACAGGGCTGAGCGCGCCGCCGGCAAGGAATGCCTGAATCGCTGATTATTGAAGAACCATTGCATGCGGGCTGGGGCGGTCGCATTGTAAAGCAATCTCTTGAGTTGAACGTTATTCACGCGAGTGCGGCGAGCAAGCTCTTCTGGAACCAATGCGCTCAGCGCGGCGATAGCTTCGATGAACTCGTGCGTCGTTTTCCATGGCAGCTCGGCGTTCACGTTGTCGATAACGTATTGAGCTCGCGACTTCACCAGTGAATGATCGAGTATCTGTGCTCGCGCGCGCTCCTCTATTGGCTGCAGGTTCGGGGCGTTCGTCCCGTCGAACGGCGCCCCCCAGTAGTGCGCGGGCAGCGTGCAATCCACCTTCGTAAATTTGGCCACTAGTATCCGCAACAGTCGTGATCCCACTGTCTTTTTTCGCCAGTGCGTCTCCTCGTACGTGATGGGCAGATGGACCGGGTCGAGGCTCAAGACCGATAAATTGGGAAAACATGAGCCTTGCAAGGCGCGGAATAGCGCGCTGCTCGGCTGGTCACTGGCGACGGACGCCGTCTGCGATCTGCACGCAGCCGACCAACGAGCTGCAAGGGCTCCAGCTATTTCATCAGCCCCCTCGTCCTTCGTCAGGAAAACTCCGAGCGCCGCGCCCGTCCGGCCCGCGAGAGTTAGGACGCGGCGCTTGGCGTCCACGTCCGGCACAGGCGCAGCGTCGCGAACTGTTTGTGCGGACCGATAATCTGCCTGGCCCTTGACCCTGCGCAGAATGCGGATGGTGGCGTCCATGGAGACGTGGAGGAATTCCTCATGCCGGTGGCATTCTTCCATCAACGCCGCGCTGCGCCTCCTACGTGCGCGCTGTTGAACACGTCTTCCATAAGCTTTAGCCAGTGATCAACGCTGTCGGCAGCATGCTGCTCAACTCGGAGCCCTGCTCTACGACGCGAGCGCACGTCCGCAGCATCGCCGGGCGCACGCGCCCATGGTGGCGCAAGGACTCCTGCAATAGGATATCGGCGAAGCCACGGGTATAGCATGTGTACCCCACTCGTCTGCACGCGAGATTCTGCCCGACTGCTGCCTTGTTCTGGTACGACGGCCCGTCGTCGTCGAGGACCAGCACAATGTCCTTGTCAATGGCGTTCTGTCCGCGATGAACAGCAGGAGATATTGTCTCGCGCAGGATCGTGGCAGACCGCTTCAGCAGGTTCCCTGCTGGAGTTCGCAGAAGCCGGTCGTTGTCGAACAACGCGCACACGACATTGAATTGCTTCGTGCCAGAGGCCACGAAGCGCGTCTTTCTGAGGTGGTACTTGGAGACGTGCGTGGCCAAGAGCGTCTGCGTCGAGAACGATCGGAACGGGCAAAGACCGCACGCAAACTTCAACTTCACGCCCTCGCTGTCCCGCTTGGGGCGCAGGAGCGTCACTCCCGCAGCGTAACTCTTGACTTCCTTCTCCAGGCACTCGAACAACTCTGTCCGCACTGCTGTCTCGCCCTCATCGCCGCTCGGAGATTCAGGTGCATCCGCCGAGTCCGCGTCCGCGAGCTCGTGGGGCTCGCGCTGCTCGGCCGCGAGGCACACCCAGCCCTCGCCGACGTCGTCCGCCGTTCTCTTGCCTCTGATCCGTTTCCTAGCCGGCGCCGGCGCGAGCCTGGCACCGTCCTGCTCCTGGCGAGCGGGCGCGCCGCGCATGCGAGATAGCGCGGAGAGGTGGTAGGGAAAACAACACAGGGCGGCAAGGCCGACCCACGGGTGAGATGGCAGAGAAAACACAGGGCGGCAGAGCCGACCCACGGGGAATGCATGTCTTGAGCCGGAGGGTGATGAAGAGATAGCGGCGCGGCCGTCGAATATGTAAGAGCTAGGCAATGGGGGATATCGAGCGACACGAAGGCCCCGCGCCACGTTGGGCACGTGTGAAGGCGAGGAGAAAATATTGAGATGATTGAGAAGTCGCGATTTTGTCTGCGCAAAAGTTCGATCGGAAGTCACGGCCCGCTCTCGACTGAGGGCCGCGCAATGGCGTCAGCGCCGCCGCATCCCCCCGAGTCCAGTCGCGGGCGCGAGTCGGCCGACGTCCCTGCTTGCTCTTCAGCCGCGTGTCGCCGGTGCAGTCTGAGCATATCGGCGGTGAAATCTATGTTCAGGGTGTCTTCCCAGGCGACGCAGACTCCGCTGCACCGCGCGCATGCGAAGACGTCGCCGCGAGGTTCCAATCGCTGCGCCAACATGGCCCACGCGGAGGTCGCTGCGCGCAAATGCATCAATTCGGGGAAAGGAAATGATCTCACCGTGGCCACGCACCCTTCCAGATAGTGGCCGATGCCGTCGACGTCGCCGTCGTCCATCCCGCAAAGGAAACAGCGATCGTGAACAGGGCTGGGGGCTGTCACCGAGGCAAGTTCTGCGTTGGCAGGCTGAAACCAGCAAGGCACAACAGCGAGGACTCCGGGCAGTCCGGCACCGTGCGGGCCACGCGAGGCCCTGGGCCCGCTCGAACTGAAAGGTTTCACGAGGATGAACGTTTTGTCTTGGCGAATCTGTTGATCCAGTGCGAAACAACGCGCTAATGTCCGTCTCCGCAAGGAAGGGAAGCATGCCATAATAGAATCGAATGCTTCATTTGAGATCTTCGATACCATCAGCGCGAAAGCCTCGATGTCAGCGGCGTCGTCTCTTTCCGGAGACGATGAAGGTGTTCGCGCTGCAGCCGCGCGCGCAGCCCGCGAGGACAGTCGAAGCTTCCTGCGCGCCGGCGTCAGCGAGCGGGCGCCAGAGTACGCGCGCCGCTGGCGAGCCCTCCCGCCAGGCGTCGGGACGCCCACCTCAGGGGACTGCGAGCTCAGAAATGGAGAACTGGCAGCGCGCTGGTCGTCGGTGGCCATGGCGCCGAGGTACGACAGAGAGATCACAGGACAGCAATGCTGATCCACAATCAGGGAAAGAGCGGGGAAGTCAAAGCAGGCCGACAATGCCGAGCCACGTTTGCTAAAATCCTGAGCCGATGAAGCGAACGGCCGTGCTGATTTTTCCCCCGCGCATCGCCGAAACGCGAGCTGGGGAAAAATCATATTCTATGCTACTCCCGAGCGGACTCTGCGCGCGTCGCCTGTTGGGTAGCGCAACTTGCGTCCGCATTTACTCTTTGCAATGATGGCGTGGGATATATGATGTCTCTGGGTGCCCCTCTCCGCTTTGGCTGTTGTTAATATACATAACAATTTCTTTTTTTGGCAACGCAAGCGTCGCATCCACGCTCTCCTTCATGCGAGGGCATCGCTACTTCCGCGGAAGTTGAGAGCACGCGGCTGTCAGCGTGGCTCCCGCAGAGCCCACGCGCGCGATTTTCATCCGTTGCCAGTTGGCATTCGGCAATTGCAACGGCACCTCAAGAGGGCGGCGCACAATCGCAACGGCAACGCCAGTGCGCGACGTCCACTGACATCTGGCGAAAGGCGCGATCGAAATTGGCCGCGGTGCTCAGGCAATACGGCATGCGCGCCGCCACGACTGGCCGCGGCCAGCCGCCCAGGGGGTCTATCTCGCGGGCGTCTTCCGACGCCATTGCCCGCAACTCTCGGGACCTCGTGCGTTGAATGGCCATGAGCTCCTCGATATCTGGGATCACCGGCACGTCGTCCACAAATGGCTGGTCGCCGTTGTCCGGATGAAGGCAGACCACATACATCGCGGCCACGCGGGCGCCGTAGTAATGTTCCAACATCCACCTGTAGATGTTAAGCTGCACCCGGTAATGATTTCCCTGGCAGTCTGACAATCGGCTTAATGGAAACTTCATATTCCCCCATGGGTTCGTGAACTTCGAACGTAAATTCTTCGCCCGCTTCCAATCGTATATGCACAGGCTGCCCGCGGAGTCTCGAGCCACGAAGTCGATTGACCCAGCAAGCCCCTCGTGCTCGGCGAAGATGGCCCACTCGGCGCGGAAAGCCGCCAGACCTTCCAGCGCGCCCAAGAATTCCAAGAACAACTGGAACTCGACGGCATCGTGGGACACCGGAACGCGGTTGAGGTGGGCCTCGAACGTCCAGTGCATCCAGGTGCCCCGCCTAGCCGCCTCTTCTTTGTTCAGGCGCCATTTCTCCACGATCTCGTGATCCGAGAGAGATAGACCCTCCAGTTGGTTTGCCAAGCGGGGGGCCGCTCTCGCAGTTGCCTTCATCTCGGCGCAGATCTCGGCGTCGCAAGCCCCGTGCGAAACAAGTAACTCGTGCAAGCGAGCAGCCTCCGCCGTGGCCCGCAGCTCCGCGACCACGTCTTCCGGGCGAGGGTGGCGCAAATAATCAGGTCGCGGCCAGTTCCGCCCGCTCCGCATCTTCCCAATCACAGCGCCAGCGTCGAAAACACTGCAGTACTCATGTATCAATCCCGTGACCGACCCATGCGTTCGCGCGCCGCTAATGTAATAGGCGTGCGACTCTTCGACGAAGTGCAACTGGGAGTCCCGAGGGTGAGCGTTGAGTCGCTCGAGCAAGCGGATCTTCGGAAGACGCGGCAGCTCGAGGGAGAAATCGCACGGGACTTGGGGCACCTGAGTGCCGGGCCACCCCACCGGCGGCAACGGGCAGAACAGACGCGAAGCTCTGCGCCGCATTGCCTCCTCTCGGTTCGCTGATACCCGGGCAGCCTCCTGCGGCGCGAGCGAGCCCGACGACGACGCCAGCCCATAGGGGGTCGCTCGTTCGCGAGCCGCGCGCCGACGGATGAGTGCGTCCAGCCTATGAGCTTCGATAATTTCAGAAGTCGCGCCCCATGGAAGAGGGCGGCCGCCCTCGGTCCCCGGCCTCCGCGCGCCGAGCTCCACCAACAAGAACCACTTGTGCTCCTCGACGTCCGGAATGTCGCCCCACGCCAACCACTCGCGAACCGCTGGCAGACCTGCTCGGCGGTCTATCACAGTGGCGCTGCCGGGCCGCAGGATGACGGCCGCGAAGTGGCCCACGCTCGCGGCCAATCCAGCTTCGCGCCGCGGCGGCTCCCACTTGACGTAACGCCCTGGACCAGTCGGACCCCGCGGCTGCTGGATCAGGGCGAAGCCGAGATGTGACAGCCATTGGTTCCCATGCTCGAGCGCACGGAATGGGCCTCGCACGCTGGTCGGCACGTGTGCTCCCAATGCGTTCAGAGCCAAGCTGAGGCACGCATGGGTGGCAGAAACGTGCTGGTCGTCGGCGGCCATGACACGAAATGCGACAGAGGGGTTACAGGACAGCAATGCTGATCCACAATCAGGGAAAAAGCGGAGAAATCAAAACAGGCCGGCAATGCCGAGCCAAGTTTGCTAGAATCCTGAGCCGATGAAGCGAGCGGCCATCGACGAATCGCGACGGCGAGTGCAAGGTGGCCTCGATGTTCAGGTAATTACGAGAGAATATATGTGATATCGTATTCTGTCTCATGATATCATTATGTAACCCTATTCGCTTTACTCCTTGTCAACACTACCCCTCTCTGGATGTGATACATTTTTCCCCCGGGGCGGCGCGAGCGCATCTCGGGGAAAACTGCCGGCCGCGGTCTTCAGGATTTCCGCCCAGCTGTTAAATCGACGCCGAGTGCGCCCTCACCGCTGTAAGTTATGTGCAACAGCGCGCCCTCGACTTCCTCGACGCGGCGCACCCACTGTGCCGTCGGCAGAACGTGCCTGCTGAAACCTCTCCACACGACAACCGAATCTGTCCCTGAAAGGACTGCCGCAGCGCAGCAATGCCTCCGCATATGACAGAAATACTTTCCGGGCACGAGTGGGCATGCACCCTGCCGCGAAGCCTGCTGGCGCGCGACGGCCAGAGAAAAGCCGAAGTGATCGGCGACGTCGGCGTAGCGGCGCTCCCCGCCTCGACGAACGGGAAATCGCGCACAATAGTCGGTCGAGCCACCGAAGTCTTGCGTCAGGATGCTGTATGCAAGCAGTATGCAGTTTCCATATTGCAGGAGAGCTCGACAGCCGCGCACGGCGGGCGGCGAGGGCTCTACCCAGACGCCGAGCTCTTCGGCCGCTGCCAATTCCGTCGCACCAATTGGCACTTCGTCAAGCAGTTGTGACATCTCCCTGCGCCAGGCCACAACTTTGGCCTCCCACTGCCGCTTGCTGACGTCAGGCAGGTAAGGGTCTGGTGTCGCGGGCCTCTCGTCATCTACCAGCTCGCCAGTGCTGCTCAGGAGCTGGATTGACACATACTCGATGGACCGCTTGACCCCGGAAACACATCGGATTCGCCTTCCGCGCGGGTCGGCGTCTTCGACAACCGCGAGAGCATCGCACATGCCAGGTAGCGCGCGGCGAGGCGATGAGGTGCCAGGGCGGCAAGGCCGACCCACAGAGAAATACTGGTAAATGCAAAGCGAAGAGAGCACAGGGCGGCAAAGCCGACCCACGTACAAGATATGCCTTGAGCCGACGCGGCGAGTGGCGTCTCAGACGGCGCGCAGACACCTCTGCAAAGACAAACCTGCTCATAATATCATTGTAAATCAGGTTCTCCAAGTCTATTCCGATCCGTATGAAGTCATATCTGGCATGGTGATGGATGCATGTGAACAATGATTGACTTGTTATCCCCCCACTGCGCGTGAGCTCACCTGCTTGTAGCGCAGTCGGCGAGGCAAAGAGCAATGCAAGCGAAGAGCGGTGAAACAGACTCCGTTGCCGCAGGCCTCACGCCATCATATTCAGGAGCTCTGCCAAGGGACTGGCGTCGCCGCTGTCTTCAGCGGCTGCCTGCGGCGCAGGGGACAAATCAATGTGAAACGTCACTGCTAGCCTCGAATCTCGCCCGACGAGGACGGCATCACGGAGCTCTTCCAGATTCATCTCTCCAGCTTTGTCACGGAAATAAACCGTCGCCATGTCGAGCTCAGCCCCCACGTGGACTAGTGCGCATGATGGCGAACCATGCCCGTCCATGTGGAGCAGATAAAACCCCTGCTCGCAGGCATCGAAGCCCAGCTGCGGCGCCATTGACACGCCGTGGCTCAGGCAACACTCCGCGTACGTTCTCCCCTTCTCCACGCTGGCGGCGTTGTTCCCCACTGACGTGGCACCGACGCTAGAGACAACGGACGCGGAGACCCTGGCGTCGCCGCATCGCCACAGCGCCAGCAGAATACCATTGCCGGGCTTCAGTAGGTTTCCGGGCGCCGCATCCACCGACCGCCACGCCCCGCAGCTCGACAGTGCCTCCGCGATCGTCGGGTGGGTCTTCTCCTTGATTTTGACTACGAAGCCTGTTTCCTTCGCGATGTGGGCACTCGCGTCAGCGGCGTAGTCCGCCACGGTGGCATGCCTTGCGAGCACCGCGTCTCTGCTGATCCTGACGCCGTCGAAATGCAGTGACAAATGCTTGACCGGCTGCGTGAGCACCCACGCATGCCACTCGCGGAGGATGTAGTCCTCCGCGCGCTGGTAGAAAGTCGAGAAAGTTTGCCCCTCTGGCCATTTCTCCGTCTTCTCGCCGTCGCCCAGCGCGGCGTCTCGGCAGAAGCTGTCGTAAACCTCGGGCAACGCCGAGCATGCCAGCCAGCGCAGTACGCGGCTCACGCGCTGCAACTTCTTGGCGAAGGGCTTGGCATCGACATCGAAAGAGCGGGAGCCGCCGATGGTCTCGAGTACGAAGCGCTTGGCCGCCTGGGGCCCCATGTCGGGCAACTCGCCCCGCAGTACCTCGTCCCTGTCCTCGGCCAGCTGCTTCAACAACTCCAACTCCTCCTTGAAAACGTCCTTATCGGCCATGGTAAGTCGTTCCACGAGTTGCCAAACGATGGTCAGAACTGCGCTGTGGATGTCGAGATCTACGGTGCCTTGCAGCAGCGCGTGTAGCACGCGCGCCGGGCACCCCTGCGCCGCCGGACCCTCCGCGAAGCGACGGGCCGCAGTGCGTTTGTATGTGTAGGGGATGCTGCGCTCCGTCATGTCGATGCCACCGCTGGCGCTCTTCTTTATAGCGATTTTCCTCCTCTTCTCCGCTGGGGCGTCGGCAGGGACCACGGTCGGCTTCTCGCGCGCGACCTCGAGCAACTCTTCCAGAGCGCGCTCTGCTGCCTGAATGGACGCGCCGACCGCGCGCAGATGGGCGTTGTCGCCCACCTCGGGCTCCGTCCCACGCTTCTTCCGCCCGCGCGGCTTCGGGACGGCCGCTAAAACACTAATCATAATGTCGACGTTGTGCTTGCGACAAGCGTTGCCGTTCGCGTAGCGGCCCAGCGCCGCGCGGTCCCAATGCTCAGGGAGCACGGTCGGGACCTCCACGTTCGGCTCCGGCACAATATCATTGTACTTGCGAGTGGTCAACAATTTCGGTAAAAACCTCTCCTTTGCTTTGCCGTACAGACCAGCTTTATACCATCCACTGGACAACATCGCCTTCCACACTGTGGGTTTCTTCTCCGGCAAGCCCTGAATCTGCCCTGTATGAATCTGCTTGAAATATGGGAACGTCAAGGCGTCGAAACTCCGCTCGAGCATCTGGCCGAGGAGGCGGCAGCGCAACTGCACCATGGGCTCCACCGTCTCCTGCGAGCCGCCCGCCCCGACCTCGAAGTCGACTCCGGGCGGCGGCGCAGCCGCGCTGCTCTGGCCGCTCGGCTTCGGCTTGCTCGGCTCCGGGAGAAGACACGCCTGTCGCATGTATTTCTCCGTGATTCCGTTATCTCCTCCGCGCAGGCAGTAATCATCTATCACCGACCTCGCTGCCGCTTCGCCGCATTTCCGCTCGAAGCCCAGCTGTCGTTGCAGACCGGCGGCGATGGCGGGCCCCGACTGCATGAACGGCTTCAGATCCGGCGCCCGCGGGAAGATGCCGTACTTCTCTGCGTCTGGCAGGACGCGCCTGATGTACTCCGCATCAACAAACCTTGCGAAAATCTTGATCAGAAGAGACCTCCGGTAGATGGCGTGGAATGCACCCTCAGTAACTCCGTCGAAAGTGATGAGCTTGTTTAGCTCCATGCGTTTCCACCCGACCAGATATATAACCTTTGTCAAAATCTGATACGGGAGCCGACCAAAGATGCCGTCGGCAGACGCCAGCTTCTTGAACAAGTCCTCCCGGAAGCTCTTCCTCAAGCCTTCTGGCTTCTCCTGTGCCGTGAGCACGATCGTGCCTTTGAGCGACTCCACCGTCTTCCGCATCTCCTCGTCCAGATAGAACACCTGCGGGTCGAAATACTTGTGGTTGGAGTGTCCGAGCATGGCGTCGAGATGCGCTGTCGTCAGGGAAAGCCCGACGCCGCCGGCCCCCCAGAAGAAGAACAGCTGGTCGACGTTCAACCCTCTCTTCGCCAGGGCGAGGGCGGCCATGCACACTTTGTGCGCGGCGGCGTTTGCCCAGAATGTCTGCCTGTAGAACTGGTCCACTCTCGTCGCGGCCGCCTTCAACACTGGGTCGCCCAAATAAGCTTTGATTTTGTGCGGTATGCCGATGTATATGCTCTTGCGTTCGCTCTCCGTCGCGATCTTTTGTATCGGGGTTCCGCCCTGGTCGTTGACGAACGCGATGTCGGGGTGGGCGACGCCCCTGTGCGAGGGGCGCGGAGTCTCGCACCACTCGCAGTAAAACGACGGCAACTTGTTCTGAATCATCTGGATCTGTAAGCTTCGTCCAACTCGAGCAACGCTCACTGCGATCGTGATGTACCACGGCGCGCTGCGCGCGGCGCTGTCGTCCGCCGGCGCGGGCGCACCGTCAGCCGGCGCGGGCGCCTCGCCATCCAGCCCGTGCGTATCCAACTGCGTCAGGGCGTCGGCTTCTGCGGCAGATTCACCCGCGCCACTCAGGCCGCCGCCCTTGCCACTGCCCTTGCCTCCTTTGTTGAAGATGGCGTTGTCGCGCCACGCGGCGAACGCCTTCGAAGCCTCCGGCCCGCTCTTCTCCAACGACCCCTCGATGGCGACCATCACGGACTCGTCATCCCGCCGGACCTCGCCGGTGAAAGACCGGAAAAGCCCTTCTAAAGTTAAGAGGTACTCCTTCAGAGCAGCATACACAATCTCTGGCATGAGACCTTCGTACTTCTCGAAGAACCTTATATTCCCGTTGCAGAAGTACATTACCCCGTCGTGGGCGACAAGATAATCACCGCCAAGTATGATGTGCATCATCATGACGTACTCTCGAACGTAGATATCGGATAGCCGACACCGGTACATGGCCAGCGCCCCAAGGGCAATCCGCTTCAGGTACGGATCCCATGAGACGTGCTTCTGCTCAATGAGTGCCTTCACCGCCTCCGTCTGCACGAGTATGCTCTGCGCAGGCGGGTCAGGGTCTGCCTCTAAACCTTCCAGCCAGATCCGCTCGTTGTCTACGTCCATCAGGAAGTCGTCGAATTCTGCATTGCATGTCGCAGCTCCTGGAAGCTTCAATCGTCGCTGCATGGAGCTGTTGTCGGCGACCGGATCGGCGGGCGCATCCTCGGGCTCGTTCTGGTGCTCGGCGACCCCTGGAACTCGCGGGATCCAACTCTGCAGGCACGACCAATGATCGACCTCGTGCCCATCCTCAGAGGACTGCTTATGAAGCCGAAAAAGCGCTACCAACGGGCCGTCGCCGTAAACACTCTGAACAGAGTGCTTCGTGTCCTCGTAGTGCTCGACAACGACCTGGCCGCCCAAGACCTCGCAGAAATATTTCATTTCGTCGAAGCCAGGGTAAGCTTCTCGTCCGGTCTTCAGCAGTCTGCTAGCAGTGGCTTCATCTCCTGCGTCGCGCGCCATCTGCGCGACGCGATCCCGGAGCTGCTTGGCGCGCGCCTCGTCCGCGCAAACTCTGCGTCTATCCTCCGCGTAACCAGACGCCTGTCTGCCGCGCAACCACGCATGCATATCCGCGGCAGCATTGCAACAGTGATACAGACACAGCTCGTCGGCAGGTACCGCCCCGACGGTATCGACTGGAACATGCGGCAGGGCAGCGGGAGGGTTCGTTAGAATGGTGATCACGCGCGTGCACATATCTTCGCCAGGCCCTTCAGGCGGTCCGCCGCGCTGGTTTGGCGAAGGCGGCACAATCGCATGCTGTATGGAATCACCCAAATTAGCCGAATATTGGCTCATAGGCTGAGTGGCAGCGGAGCCCTGATAGTCGGCGGACATGACAGCGAAATGCAACAGATAGATCACAGGACAGCAATGCTGATCCACGATCTGGGAAAGAGCGGGGAAATCGAAAACAGGCCGGCAATGCCGAGCCACGTTTGCTAGAATCCTGAGCCGAGAGAGACCCAAGAGGGATTCGAGACTCTGCCGGGCTTCATTTTCATCTTCGGGGCTGCCGTCGGCATCATCACAACCATGATCATGATTATCATCATCATCACCACCGCCATCATCATCGTCATCATCGTCATCGTCACCATCACCGTCATCATCGTCATCACCATCATCAGCATCATCATCATCACCATACTCATCGTCATCATCGTCATCACCATCATCATCATCAACATCGTCACCATACTCATCGTCATCATCATCATTACTGTTGTCATCCGCATCATCAGTCTCAGCACCGTCATCATCCTCGTCGTCATCAACATCATGTGCTAGTATATGCGGCGGTGCCTCACCACAGGCGGCTCCCCAGCCGGACAATTGTTTCAAGGGTTTTGTTTCAAGTTTTGTTTCCAGGTTTGTTTCAAGTTTTGTTTCTGGGCCCTGGTTTGATTTTGTTTCTGGGCCGTGGCCAAGAGTGCCCAAAAGGCCCCCCAAGAGGCCCTAAGAGGTCAGAGTTGTGAGGATGTCTCAGGCGGTAGTGGCCAGACCACCTGCTCAGGGCATCTCGCATCTCAGAGTGGCGAGGGTCTCAGGCGGAAGTGGCCAGACCACCTTGGGGCAATGCATCTTCGAGGTCAGAGTTCGGAGGATGCCTCAGGCGGCAGTGGCCTGAACACCTCAGCTCAGGGCCTCTCGCAACGTAGAGTTGCGAGGATGTCTCAGGCGAAGGTGCCCGGACCACCATGGGGCAGCGCACCTCCGAGGTCAGAGTTCGGAGGAGGTCTCACGCGAAAGTGGCCTGAACACCTGAACTCAGGGCATATCCGAGATCAGAGTTTCGAGGATGTCTCAGGCGGCAGTGGCCTGAGCACCTTAATTACCTCTGGGCCTCTCGCAACCCAGAGTTGCGAGGATGTCTCAGGCGAACATTCCTGGGCCATTCATTGGGCAGGGCAACTCCGAGGTCAGAGTTGCGAGGGTATCTCAAGCGAAAGCGGCCTGAACGCCTGACCTCAGGGCCTCTCGCAACCCAGGGTTGCGAGGATGTCTCAAGCGGAAGTGTTCGGACCACCGTAGGGCAGGGCTCCTCCGAGGTCAGAACTTCGAAGAATTCTCCGGCGAAAGTGGTCCGACCAACTCAGGTCAGGGCGTCTCGGAACCCAAAGTTGTGAGGATGTCTCAGGCGAAACGGGCCTCCATCTCCACTTCTTCCTCCTCCTCCTCCTCCTCGCCTTCTGCCTGGATGCTACGCGGGTTGCGAACGCCTGCTCCTCCATGTAGTCCTCATCCGCCTTCCCCTGCGCATGTCCCCCCCCCCGCGCCTCCTCACTCATTTCTCCCTCTTCCTCCTCTTCCTCGTCCTCGTCCTCGTCCTCGTCCTCGTCCTCCTCCTCTTCCTCCTCCTCCTCCTCCTCCTCCTCCTCCTGTTCTGTTCCATCGTCCCACTCCTCCTCCCTCCCCCACCGCCGGCCGAGCCGGGCCGGGCCGAGCCGAGCCGGCGGGCCGGCCGAGCTGGGACGACGACGACGACGACGACGACGACGACGACGACCGCGACGGCGGTGGCGGCGGTCGCGGCGGCAAACCCGGCGGCGGCGGCGCCACGGCAATGGCGGCGGCGGCGGTGCTCGCATGGGCGGGCGGCGCTCGAGGAGCGTGGCGCGACCCCGACATTCGGTATCCGCCACCGCGCGTGCAGCGGTAGGTGTGTCTCGGGCCCTCTCTCTCCTTGCGAAGCAATAATTAGGCCCCCCCGACGCATCGATCCCAAGATGGGGCTTATTTTTAACATCAAGTCCCTGTCTTTTTGGCCTTCCAAACACAAAATGCCTCCAAATACCAGGGCAGGGGTAAGAACTTCCGTGGATTCTCCCTTCCTGGCCCCACTCCGCGCCTGCCCCCCCCCCGCGGGCGCCCGCCCGAGCGCGGTGGCGGAATCGCGCGGCAGCGCCAATGGATAATGCGTATTCTCGTGCTGCTTCCTCCGGCTCACGCCAGCTTCCGCGGGGCCCCCCCCGTTGCAACTCCGCCGGGTGCGCGAAACTTCCGCCAACCTCCGCCGAAGAAGAAGGGCCCTGAACACTGACCTCAAACATAATTTGAAACGAAACCTGAAACACAATCTGAAACACTCCCGGACACAGGCCCTGAAAACAAGGCCGCTGCCAAAACTCACTGCCATGTATATATGCTCACGGCCCCCCCCCGAGGCCAACCTGTTCGCCCGCCGCGCTCGCCTCGCCGACGCGACGCCGACGACGACCGCGACGACGACCACGACGACGACAACAACGACGACGACGACAACGACGACGACGACGACGACGACGACCGCGACTACGACCACGACGACGACGACCGCGACCACGACCACGACCACGACGACGACGACGACAACGACAACGACGACGACGACGACGACCGCGACCACGAACACGACGACGACCGCGACCACGACCACGACCACGACCACGACGACGACCCTATAGCCCTAGCCCTATAGCCTTATAGCCCAATCGCCCAATGGCCCAATAGCCCTATAGCCCTACAGCCCCATAGCCCTATAGCCCCATAGCCCTATAGGCCTATAGCCCTATAGCGTCATGGCCCCGACATCGTCGTCGACGTCCAGGGTCGGAATCACCGGCCGCAAGGCCTCTCCAATCAATTGTGATAAGAACACATGCGCTGACGATGACCACGACGACGACAACGACAAGGGAGGGAGGAGGCAGGCCGGCCACCGCGGCGAGCACATCGTCCGAATGCTTCGATAGACTACAGCATGCCCATATGCGTCAGCACAACAGCGGCGGATTCATAAACCTTGTTCTTGAGCGAATACTTTTTCACTTTGGCGAGCATGCGCCGCTCATCTTGCACCTGCTTTGGCGAAAGTCTTCCAAGTTTCTTCACGAAAGCACAGAGGGTAAACCTTCTCTTCGTCAATTTCGCATAGACTTGATGTGTCTCGCAGAGCAATAGAGCAAGCGCCCCAGCATCGTCGGGAATAGTAGGCGTATTTCGAATACCAGACCGCCCCAACCACTCGAGCAGCTCCACTGGGGAAGGATTACCTAGCACTTTAAGCATGGCAGCCACACTGCGATCGCTCATCAACATGCTGCCCCATACAGAACCTAATGCTATCTTGCGATGGAAGATTGCAGCTAAACTCCGAACACAATGAGGAGCAGTGTAGTCACCAACCATGTCAACTGGTCGAAGCTGCGATACCATGAGATCACACGCCTGCGTCGTGATAGTCCCACGGCCGTTGTGAAAATACTCGCAGCACATAGCTGCTGCGCTGGTAAGCTTTTCCCAGCTCTCGTATGTATCAAACCATTTGACTATGTTGCTCGGTTTGGTGATGCGTCGACATAACCCAGGAACCAACATGGCTATTTCATCTCTGTCGATTTCTGTTTGCTGAGATTTGCTGCTCTGCGCGCTTATACGTTGCAGTGCATCTTTCATGCTTCCGCGCGCTTTCAAGTGTGACATCGCTGATGCCATGCGCCGAGGTGTCCATAATTGATGCAAAACGATTAGATGCCTCATTGCATGCAAGCCAGTATACTCGTTGTCATCTAGCTCTTGCTTTGAAAGCCGCAGCCCAGCGATGTCGGCAGCCCGTAACAATGGAATCTTAGCGCATGCTCCACGAGCGTACAGCAAACACATCAACCGGATGACCAATTGCGCCCGGGCATTGGGCGGAGTCCGTCTAGGGTTCTTTGTGACATCTTGAGGCTCCTCTCGAAGACATTTGGGCAACTCCCTAACACTGTGGCCCGGCGCCAGCATGTCTTTCAGAGACCGAGTCTTTGTAAATTTACGGACCTTCTCCGCCACCGCAATTTCATTCGCCCCCGACCAGCACATGCGCTCACCATCGCGAGTGGCTCGACCAACATAGACGCACTTCTCTGGATTGTAGGTCGCATTTTGAAACATCGATGACATTGACGGATCTTGAGCCGAATCTTGTGGTCCCATACCTCCGACGATCTGATTGATTCAAACTCCGCGGCCCCAACATATACGGATCCTTGCCATGTTTTTTTTTTTGGGGGGGGCAAGCCGTTCGTGGTCCCGGGGGGCCGAAGATTGCCCCCAGCGGCCGAAAAAGTAAAAAATATCAAGATTGAATAAATCATCCCGCCGAAGATCTGGAGTCGAATGGAGCGAGGGGCGCCCGCGAGGCCAAGGCGGCTCGTGCCAACAGCGTAATTCGGCGGCTCGAGCCAGCGTCTCGCTCCGGGCGCCTGTCTCGGTTGGCGGAATCGAAGGGGGGAGGGTTTGGGGGAGAGTTCGAAGACGGACTGAAGGGAAGATCCGAGCAAGCACATCGTCCGAGTGCTTCGATAAAACGACAGCATGCAACTTTGCCCAAAAACAGCTGGTAAACAAATCTACCTCGCTTTCTGTTCCAAGGACCAACCATCCATGACATGGTATTTTTGTATTCGTGAATGAACAAAAGTGAGGTAGATCTGTTTACCAGCGAGGACAGGGCGACGCGCGAGGCGTTAGAGCGTCCAAGATGGCCAAAGATGGCTTCAAGAGGGTCCCAGAGA